ATTTATATGAGAAAATATTGGGTGATTCAGCTTTAATAGGCTATCAGGTCTATAGATCTATAAAGTATACTACTTTAAAAAGAGATCTGATTAATGAAAACAGTTCTAAATGTGTCTAGCACTTGCAAATGTGACTCAAATCTATCCAACTTTGCCTGCATCAATGAGATATGAGAAAAACTGTGACATGCAGAAGAAAACTGTGCCATTCTGGACTTTAAATAGTGAATAATTACAAGTGAATTTTGGACTGCAGCAGAAGAGCAGATGGTGAACAGACATCAGAGGAAATGTGGACTTCTAAAAGGTCGCTCATGCAGAGATGTACACACACGACTTCAGATTAAATGCCTGGTACCACTCTTGGTTCTGACTCCAGTGTGAAATTTGGGGTTATGTGTCCTGATATGGATGCTCAGATGGATTTTGTATGAACCTTTGTAATAACTGTACATCCAGATTTATAATAGTTAAAATGCATTGGTCTTATATAGCGCTTCTTTTTGCTCACAACCTTTTTACAATTTTGTGCATTATTCATTCACTTCCCAGACTGGGTGGAGACAAGCTACTGTACTTAACCGCCAATCTTGCACTCACTCACCACCACATTCACAAATAGCCAGTGGGAGGAATGGGTGAAGTGTCTTGCCCAAGGATACAACAGTTGCATGCATTGCTCCAGTGTGTAATATGGGCCCTTTAATCTATTGTATATAAGTACCACTACACGCCATCTTTACTATACTAGGTCAGCACTATATACGAGAAGACACACTTCACTGCAGCTTGTACGCAATGTGAATGAACAAAGCCTTGGCTACAACTGTCACTGAGCAGATGGGACAGCGTGCACAGAGAAGGCAGATTTTACAAAGAACTATGGTGAGAACAAGAGCCATGTTTGGGTGTGCACTTTGGGAGGTTGACCCAATGTATCACGGAGCCAAAACACTGGATCAAGGCCGAGCAGAGAGTCAAATGTTATCACAATATTTAAGGACTGTAGAGTTTAATGAGATGGGAGGGGGACTTACTACTCTGAATCCCCAAAGTGAACATCTTTAAACAATAATGGAATAATGGATGTAGTCTTTTCTATAAAAATTCTTTCCTTGTTTCTTGTTTCTTATCAGTTTGAAATCAATACTTGACTGGCTGTTGAAATTTGTAGTGAAAAGTTTGCATATATGGAAAAATGCCAAACTGATAAGAGGAACAGCTGGTTATTTTGAACTGTTTAACAAACAATTGAGCAACAATAATCTTACCTGTAGTGCGAATACTGGTATAATAATTTAGAATAAATGTAATAGGACTCAGTAGGCATACCCTTGAAATCGCAAACTTAAAAAGTAGCAATAGCAACAGTAGTAGTCGTAAGTGATCAGCTGATATGGATTTTTTCATGGCTGAGGCCGACTGTTTAAAATCCAGAGAAAGTGATGGCCGCTAAAATGTGCGGATATTTTTGGGACAATGTGTAGGGTTGATTTTGATTATTTTCCTCAAATTATACCATTTAAATTGACTACAGACTCACCCACAGCCCTTTTTAACACAAACCTTTAAGATTATAAAATATCTTTATATTAAAGTGGTAAAATAAAGATGTATTTCTTAAGCAGCAGATTGATGGAAAAACATATCAACCTGTGCTAAGAGATTAAAGTACAAAAAAAAGCCAATACATTAAAAAGTGCAAATATTAGCTCAATATAACAGTAGGTTTAATATAGTAAACTAATATTAAAAGGTAGTAGTAGTAATAGTATGCCTTATAGTATGAGTAATAACAGTAGACCTCATAGTAGTAGGAATAGCAGTGGCAGCAGCATTAGTACTAAGAACATTTTAGGCTGTGCGGTTAAGATTTTGAGCACTTCTCCCATGCACCTCTGTCCTGCTTAAATTAGCCAAGTTAGCCAATCACTGCCAGACATTGTACAGTGGATGACTCCATTTGAGCATACGTGCCACTGGTCCCGTATGTAAATCACTGCTTTGTAAATCAACTTTGAGCTACGAGCCTGTCCGGAAAAAGCTACCGGATTACATTACAACAAGCCACCTTCTGTGAGAGCTCTCTCCTTACTCTAACTTTTCCTGGAAAGACCAGTGCAATAGCGCTACAAGCAAATGAGCAACTTATGTAATACCTCCTACATTGTTCTTATTTCAAATCACTCTTAACAGTCCTATATTGCGCAAAAATGACTCTTGTGAATGTTAAGCCATGTAAGAACGTTATTACCTAATCAAAAACATACCTGGAGTTGTGTTTCATTCACACAGGTTTGAGTAATCCTGGTTTATTGTCTGTTTACATCTCCAAAGCTCAAAATGCTCTGTTTGACCTTGTAATGTCATGAAGCGGTTCACAGCTCCCATTTACTTTTAGTTCCGTAGAGATTGAGGGTTAATCCAGGTCTGAAATCATCCAAATGATTCGGCTGAAGGTGTGTGGTGTTTAAAAACACAGTGGAGCACTTCCTGTATTATGCAGTCCACGTAGTTTATTTGACTGGCAGATTGGTATAACTGATATGGTTCAACTTTGGTCCCAGTGACTTATTTACGATACATTCACTCATTCATGTGCTAAAGCCTCGGTCACACGCAGGCTCTGAATACAGCACTGTCTCACTCCCTTTGACACCTTTTCTATTGGAAAAGGAGCTCTGTGTTAAAAGTGTACGCCAGGCTCTGCCAAAGGGGTCACGACAACCATCTAATCTGGGACAAATCAGTTATGAAGGCGGTAAATATAGCTGGTACAAAGGAGACACAGTATTACATGTGTATATGACAGGGTGAAAGTTGAATATAATTTGTCAGATGTAAGGGATGACTGTGGATGATAGAGTAGCAACTATGGGCCTTTGGCAGGGTGTATTTTGAAGGCAATTTAAAGAGTCAGCAATTAAGATAAAATGGTAGAATGAAGCTTTCATCAATGAGTCACACTAAACCAGGGGTCTCCATCCAGTAGCTCAGGAGTTACCAGTAGCTCTCCACCCCCTTCCAAGTAGCTCGCCAAGGGATTTCTGAATTTGAATAACCATCTGAATTTAATCGATTAAATGCCTATTTGCATTGTAAATGTATAGTTTTATGCCTATCTTTGTGAACTGATAACTGGATAATGGTTTATGTTTCATACTGTGGACCTCTAACTGTACCCTGTCTGAGGCTTACCATGGCTCTTATATTTCCTCCATTTCTGGCAAAAGCTAAAACTAGTAGCTCTGTGGGATTTTCGTTTTACAGAAAGTAGCTCACAGGAGTAAAAAAGTTAGAGACCCCTGTACTAAACCAACTGTACTTATTACGCTTTTGGTATCTTCATCAGGGCTAGTGTTGGTGACTGTGACCAGATGTAGAGGTGGGTTATCTGGGGCGTCCTGGCTAAAAGTGAAGTAAGTCCAGTTGGTTTAGTTTAGCTCGTTGATAATCTTATCCTTAGATGTCTCAAAATGTACATGAATTAATTATGCTTTTGTAATCTATACAATTTTCTGTCATACAATCTTGATAAAAGATAGTGAATCAAAGTGTTCAATGAAAAATGTCTTTTTTACTGTCGTTTCTCTTTTAATGATATTATATATTTAAAAAACACGGCACTTTCTAATGCAAATGAAATTGGGCCAGGACTAAGCCAACTAAATCAAATCCAAGAAACAACAAGAACAAAACAAGAACCTGAATGCATCCAACATATGGATTTTATGGGACAGATATAGGATCTATCAGATTGTGACACAAGAAATATGTTAAAAGACAGCTTAACTTACATTGGCATCCAATTTAAGCAATATTGAAAAGGGATGCATAATATTTAATGATTCTATGACTTACATAGACATCCAATTTAAGCAATATTGAAAAGGCCTGTATAACATCTGTTTAACAGACTGGAATGGCCAATGGTCTTGGTGAGAATGAAAGGAGATTTCATATGCAGACAATACCATCTATAGGTGGAAATAATGTTGACTGGGAGGTGCTCCAGGTCAATAACATCAGAGCGTGTGTGGCCCAGAGATAACCATAAACTTCAAACTCTGCACCTTATCTGTGACTATTGGAGAGGCTGCACCCGTCTGGTCCACATTACACAACCCGTCACTCCCAGCCAATAATAACTCAACTAGTTGCGCAAACAGAAAGGAAAGCAATAATGGAAAAAGCACCATCAGGGCACATGGGGCTGCACACAATATCAACTATTTACATTCATATATTGGAACATGCAATAACATAACTGCAAAGCAATGAAATATTATATTACATTATTGTTGTGGCCATCCATGAAGTAGTCTATGCTACTAGACTGTAAAAGTGTTTGTTATATCATGGAAGTACAGGGGAAGAAATCTATACACAATTTGCTAATGTATAGGCCTGATATTTATGATGGGTAAGTGCATCCTGTTTTTATCCGAGTTTGCAACTTGCAATGCAGTTGTCCAGGTAAACTGCCAAACATTAGACTGTCACTGTTGCGATTACTTTCTGGAAAAAAACACTAAATCAAATAAAGAAGGAAGGTTCTGGCTCATTTTCTGTTCGTAATACTCATACTCATCTCCTGAAAGCATCCATCTCTCCATCTCTGACCAGATCTATTGGAGATGGAAAGCCATAAAAGCTTCAGAGCTTCATTAATGGAAGCTGTCTGGCTGTTTTATTGGTGTGAATTACAGCCTGCGGCGGAATCAGTGTTTGCTTCAATAAGATGATCTACAAGACTATCTCTGAGGGAAAAGGCGGACTGTTCGCGTCGTCACTGAAATAGACCTGATGTGGGCTAAGCAGATCACGGAACGAATGCCCCAGGCGGGATGGTGCAAAACAGAGGGGTGATAACACCTCGGCCTAACTGGCTCATTGCATAACAAGAGCGACAATAGTCAGCACTTCAACGCATGTTAAAGGGGGGATGTTTGCAAAGGAAAGACGTGCAAACGCGCACAGAGGCAACAAGACCGACCAACCTGCTCTTTGCGCTTCTGCCAGCGGCCACACGGGCTCTCCTCCAGGATCTCACTCTCATCCTCGCTCTCCTCCTCCTTGCCCTCAGAGCCTGATTTTCTCTCCGGGACCGACATAGTCATCTTAACGCCGTATGTGTCCAGGTTTTAGCAGGGCGCTGTTAGTATAGCCCACTGCCTTTCTCTGTCTCCTCCGATTCCCGAGGCTTCCGAGCGTGTGGTTGTTCCGGTGGAGGAGCAGCGCAGTAAAGCGGTTTGAAGCCACCAGTCACTCACTCATTCACACAGTCACAGTCAAAGCGTCGGCGCTCAAAGCATTCTGTTGGAATAGCCTAGTGGAGATGCAGCCGCACGGAAACAACAGTTCGGTTCCCAGTCATAGGATCTCAGCGCACGCCCCTCACACGCACATGCTCATGCGGCGGAGTTGATTTGTCGACAGTCTCCCACACGCGTCACCTCAGCGTTGTTGGGCTGTGAGCTCCTGCCAGACACGGTGCGCAGGGATGAAGTCTGTGCCGTAATGTTGATACCAAATAGGCAGTGTAAAAATTATGTGCTGGTGTACAGACGGCATTCAAACCCGAAAACGGCTCTGTCAGCGCCATAAAAACTGGCATAGGCCTGTACTTGAATTATTATAGTTAATTGCAAGGCAAGTTTGGTTAATTTTATTCAGATTTAGATTTATTCAGCATATGTTTTGTCAACAATATTTGACTAATTAATTACCACACAACTCCCCGTAGCATAGAAAAAGCTGCTCACAGGTCTGACCTGCAGTTTCGTTATCCATGGACAATATTCCAGCTATGCCAAAATATGGTAGGACCAACTTTACAAATAGTACGGTACTCTGTCAGAATAAAGTAGTGGCCTACACGCGTCAGAACATTTGCCCCATTACGCAAAGCTCTTCTGACATCTAGTGGTTAGGTCATGGTAACACAACTTCCTAATTAGGTGTACTTGAAGAATAAGAATATTTACACATTACAAAAGTACACAAAGAATTTGATTGGTCATTGAACCATCTCTCTCTCCCTTGAGTCCAGTATAATAACCAGGACCAGCAGTCCCGTATTCATCAGCTAGTACATAAAGATGAAACAAACAACTTTAGCAACATTTTTTTCCTCTTCTTTTTTTTGTATCAAGTATTAGTAATATTAGAACTAATTTAACTGTGTATATATCTAAAGCAAACTAAATAAATGCACATAAATACAAATTTGTTAGTACTGTATTTGGTGCTGTTGGGTTGTTATTGCTTTGATTTGCCTAGCATGTACCACAGTATGGCATTAAACTTATCTATCGCTATGGAGACAAGCAGCCAACAAGGCCAACTTACAGGTCAGATCTGTGGAGAGAAAGCCCACTCACACTAAGGATGTTTTTTTTAAACTATAACACTGCAGGCAAAGCAATAAAATCTCCATGGTGACAGGCATGTGGTGGACCCTCTATCAGAAAAAAATACATAGTGAATATTTAATTGTTAGATCCTTCTGCTGTTCATAGGCCTGGATAATTGAAAAGTGGGAATTGAAAGGAAAACTGAATGCACTGGTGTATAAAAAAACTTTATTGAGCAATAGGAAAGTTACTTAACACTGTTAGGCAATGGCTACAGACTAACTGGTATCTCTGAATTTATGTGGAATTGGACACAAAAAATACACACATTTTGTTATACACATGGGAAGATATAACTGATATAAGATAAGATAACAGATATAAGACAAAGTAGAAGCCTGAGTTGTTCTTCTAACCAGAGGACACAGACAGAAGAGTTGGGGCTCCGCTGTTGTAGACCATCTTTTTGCAATGCTCGGTTCTTGAAGTAATCATTTCCTTGAATCAAGAACAAATAGTGTAAGAACTACAACCAGTAAGGCTGTAGAATTGATAAAAATCTAATGCTATGCTATGTTTGTCTTGTTTGTCATACGTGTGCCAGTATCTCTGGCAGATTTCTGATTGGATAACAGTGTAGTATTTTTCATAAAAATAACAACTAACAAGATATTTAGCTTTCCAAGTTTCAACCAGGGCTAGACTAAAATTAATCTACAGTAAAACTGTTCTAAAGGAAGAAAATAGGCCTAAACCTAGAGTAAACTGTGTGCAAACCAGGTCTAAACCAAAACATATGGTTGTTCTTGTAAATTGCTATTGCACTGCTCACAAAGTGGACTAAAAGTGAAAATGAACAGTGAAATATTAAATGGTTTGTAATTAAACTGATGTGTTTGTCAAAGGTTTTGTCTTACTCTTGATGTCAGCAGACTATCTCTGTGCATGTCAACACATATGTGAGGATGCTGGCATTTACCTCAGTGAGTCTTGGCCTCTGGATGCAGTGCACATATGGATTAGGCTCCGGCTCGATTTGGTCTGATGCAGTTTTGTAGCAAACTGCACAGTCCATCAGAGGCTGCAGGCAAAAAAGGGTAACATATTTTAGTTGTAGTACTAGTATTAAAGGTCCTATATTATGAAAAATTCACTATTGTTAGCTTTAAGCCATGTTAAAATGTTGTTACCTTTTCAAAAACATACTTGAAGTTGTGTTTTGTTTCATTCACACAAGTTTGAGTAAGACTTTATTATTAGTCTGTCTCTGTCTCCAAAATGCTCTATTCCACCTTGTGATGTGACGTTAGCAACTACATTTTACTCTTTATTTAGTAGAAATTAGCAATTCCAGGTCTGAAATGGTCCAAATGATTCTAGTGAAGGTGTGTGGAGTTTAAAAACACAGTGGAGCAGTTCCTGTATTACTACATGACATCACTGAACAGAGTGTTTTCAGTTTTCAGCCTAAATATGCAGTGTTTGTGTTTTAAACATGTGTGAATTAAACAAAACACAATTGCGGTAGGTTTTTGATGAAGAAACATTATAATAGAGATCAGTATAATTAAATATACAAGTATGATTGTCAATCTCACTCGGTCATTTCTGAAGACACATCTCGATGGGTTGGAGTTGGTGGTTCCTTTGGGACATCTGGTTGCCTTCAGGTAGAAATGCTGGTACAAGTATTTTACCCCAAATCCAGACTGAGAAGGCAGAGGACATGTTGTTAGCTACAGCAAAGAGCACTAGGATCAAAGTCAAACTCCCTGAATATGAGCCACTGCAAGTCTTTAACTGATATTGAAACTAACTTTTGCTTATGCTTTTAAAAGAGGTAGCCTCGTAAACCAAACAACACTTTTGAAACTTTAGTTCATAATATTACTCAAAAGATAAAAGGTACTCAAAAGATATAGAGAGACAAGAGAATGTATAGGACTCTACTGGTAAGAAAAAAAAGAGTATATTAAATTTTCAACATTCACGTAAATACACTGTAAAAATCTTTAGACCTACATCTATCTCAGCTTTGTCCACTGTCCTCAGATAGCGAAAATGGTGGGCCACAGCGGCATGAGTGCTCAGCCGCTCCAGGGCCAGGTCCACTCCGCTCCTGTATTCCGCGGAGAGTTCATTGTAGGGGTCCTGGGCTCCGGCGACGCACAGCAGCGCGTAAAACAGCAACAGCGGTAATCCTGCGGCCATCTTCTTTCTCACTGCTTCCAAACTGTACAGCAAGACTACAAAAACACACTAAGAACTCCCTCCTCTTCGCGGGGATCGATTTTGGCCCTCAGTCAAAACAAGTCCTATTATGGGATGGAGGCTCTGAATGGTGCGCACTAAAGGCCCCGTTGCTTTGCGTGTGTTTGCTTAATCTTTTTCCAGTAAATGCCGGTGAGTATCTTTTACGTGTCTTAACAAAGTCTTCTGGGAGTGATTTGTAATTGAAAGAAAAACTGTGGGCTCCTGATTGGTCCAAAGGTCAGCTGTTATTTAAGGGTTAATGGGCTATTTGGGTTTGTTTGCGCAGCAGACTAAAATGGGTCACGACAGTGGGAGTTTTGGATTATAAACTTGGAGTTGATGGTCACGTGTTACTGAGAGGACAATAGAGGGGTTACGGAAAGACTGGTTTAGAGGAAACGTAATGGTTTAGGGGAAAGAGCAACTGTCTTTTGAGTGTTGAGACCTTTTCTGAGCAGAGTTCAATAGCCTACCCAAAAACAGGACGCATTTTCACATTTTTCTATATAGCTTTGTGGTAGTCTACGTTCAAAATGAACACGTGATTCATATAGGCCTACACCAAGGGCAAACTAAAAATATTTTGAGTTAAAATTATTCAGGTTTTAATTTTGAAGATTGAAATACTGAAATTTTGGACACTGACACGTTCTTTGTTGAATCTGGGTTGAAATTTTGTACAATACTATACAGTTTACATTTAAAAACATTTCTGTTACAATTTTTTTGTATGAATATAAAGCATGTATTACACTGACAGACTATTGTCACTGGCCATATTCTTCAATTTCACAGCTGGGATGTTTGCAGTATTCATAAATATACCCTTTACATCCCCCTGCTCAGCTATATTTATACCATAATTACATAAAAACATACTAAAATCTTGTTATTAAAAGTGTTTTTCCAATACTGGAAAATAAAAATACATATTGTTTTTCTGTTTAGTAAATAATCTTACACTGTACATTGAACTCATGCAAAAGATATAATGTAGAATAGACTAGCTCATAGTGGCGGGCATTACCATACAGAAGTCTAAATGTATGTGAACGCTTATAAAGATTTATAAGGTCCAGTCAGTAAAAAAAGGTTTAATGAACTGTTTCTAATCTCCTCTTGATGCCAGAAGAGTTGGGGTTCCACTGCCGTAGCCAATAATGTTGCACTGATTGATTCGTAAAGTCTTCATTTCCTGCAACAAAAATAGGATAAGGAACTATAACATTTACATCAAGACATGGTCATATTTGTCAGTCAAATTCAAAAATGCTAAATCTTTGAATATTACTCAAAACACAAAATGTCATCATCAAAATGAACCAAGAATTATTAACCTGCTTCAACTACTATATTGAGATTTTGATGATAGTTTTACAGAGTTTAGAGATTTTAAAACAATGCAGGCAATCAAAATCTATGCAGTTAAGGCTAAACATTTACAGAAAACATTTGTGAATACATTTAAATTTATAATTCACTTGTAATATTTGATTTTGAATAAATGCACCAACCTCTGTTAGACTGGGCTTGTGGATACAGTGGACATAGGGCTTGGGCTCCCCTTCAATGTTCCCTCCGAAAGTTTTGTAGCACACTGCGCAGTCAATGGGTGGCTGCATGATTGCACAAACATAAAGGCAAGGGACAAGTCAGAACAGACCCGCATACCATAACAGAGTGTCATGAGAGGAGCTCTGAACTTGTACAAAAATACAAAAATATGCTTACTCTGTCGTTTCTGAAATGACAACCAGTGGATTCAGTTGTACCTTTTGGACAGTGAGTTGGTTTTAAAAGGAAATGGTGATAAATGTATCTCACATCAAAACCAGGCTGTAAACAAAAAATGTGAAATTCTTGTGATAAAAATGACACAAATGCATAAATCATCAAATCTAATCCAAAAAACTGTACTTACATTTATATCTGATTGTGTGATGCTCCTAAAGAATAGAAAATGGTGCTGGACTCCTGTGTGCGTCCTCAGCTTTTCCAAGGCGAGGTTGACTCCTTTCTTGAAATCTTCAGACAGGTTGTTGAAAGCCTCCTGCCCCTGAGCGGACAGAACCAGGGCTTGTACGCTCAGGATCACCAGCAGGAACATGGCCATCTCTCTGCTTCTCTGTGTAGGAGACAGTGGCAAAGCAGCACCCAACCCGCTCCTCTCTGGGTTTTTTGGGAAACAATCCACGCCCTTTTCCCCCCCAGACAGAACATTTTTGGAACACCTGGTACCTCCGTGAAATTGTGTCATTGGTCAGATAAATTTGATGCAATAATGTACAACGGAACAAGGGTAATGTTTAGCAGATATTTTATTGTATTTAAATGAAACAGGATTATCAGTTCATTATTTTGATACTCATGAAATATACAGACCTCCTTCATTTCATTCACAGGCACAATAAGCATACATTTTGCGGTCTACTTCATATAAATATTCATTCAGTCAGTGGCCATGATGTGCCACATGCGTATCCTTAATAACAGCAGTAATGCCTCATAATACAACAGATAAATAAAACCCAGAGATGATTGGTTAAAGTGGGTCACAAAGTGCAACTAATACAACTACTACTACTACAACTACTACTGTAACGTGAGTTGTCCTTCTAACAGCAGAGAGCGGTCACTACATGGTCCACAGACACTTGAGATGCTGTGCACATCTGAGGCACGGCACAGCCAAGTCCATCACACTGGACCAGGACAGTTTAACAGGCCAAGTAGTGTGTGACATGCAATAAACGAATAAACTAATAAAAGTCAAGATCAGACCCGGAGTCCATTTTGACACAGTCAAAGGCTGACACCATGTCACTTCATTTCAGGTGACATGAAACAAGATAAAAACAGATAGTTAAAGTCTTTCCTCTCATTTAAACAGTGAGATTGTCTCAAGAGCTTCAGTGGACATTTGGTCTGTAGTAACTGAAACGTAATAGAATATTCTATGGTAATAATATTATGGAATGTTTAACTGCTACAATCACTTGGGCAGCTTGTTCTGACCTCAGAGGTATTGACATACTTTTGGCACAAAAACAATGTCATCACAAAATGAACCACAGTGTGGCACGTAACTAAGCTATAATACTATTGCCCTATGCATTGTATGTGTCTGTATCTGTAAGTATAATGATGGCATTAGTGTAACAACATAAAGTAGTTCAGCTATTATTGTTCAGTACAACTTTAAAACAGTAGATCTCCCTCTGCTGGTGATCCTGTTTCACTACAAGTACACGCATTCATACAGTATAAAAGCTTAAGCAAGGCATGATTAAAAGCAGAGCAGGTTAAAATTCACAGGTAGTCAAGCGAAGGCAAAAGTGAATTAATCTCTCATGAATCTGAGGACACTACAGTGATAAAATCAATCTGTAACACAAAGTCATAGTTCAGATTTGGTGTGGTTGAAAGTGCTAGAGCGTCAGGAGGTGGTTTACGTCGAATGAGGCACTTACTTGACCTCAAAACAAACTGATCTCCTACATAAGGCGCTTAGTGACTAAAACATAAAAGTACTTCAACAGTAATACCCCAGCATATGAATATCTAAGGAATGCATCCCATTTATCCTCGGCATATTCAATGTGAATCAGAGCAACATTTCAGCACTACACAGAAAATGTTCTACATTCAAACAGTAGCTATTCGTTTTCAGTCACCGGACTTTTAAACTATTGCCTGAAATGTTATGAATAAATCAGTTTATTTGATTTCCATATTTAAAAACTACATTTTGCCAATAACGAGTTGAGAAGCTCCTGAATAGCAATGACAATACAGCTCAGTCAGACATAACGCAAAGCTATTAAAGAGACTCAGTTGGAGAATCCAGCAGATGACCTTCTACATTCAACAGGTGTCAGTGATGGTGGTGATGGGCACTGTGCAGTGGCAATTAAAGTCCACTAGAGGGCGTCATGAGATTTACACTGGCATGTGCATCTCTGAATACTCATCTTTCTCTTCAAACTTTGGTTCTGCATCGTCTGCATCCAGCTGGAAAAAGGATGTTGGAAAGATTGTTAACTAGTAAATATGAGTTTCTTTATCTAAAATTATACTGAATGAATAGTACAGGTGACAGTTCTCACAACCTACAGAGTTAAATATGCACTATGCAACTGTTCTGGCAGAGGGTCCACCACCTGCTTGTCTATTATTTCTTTGCCTGGAATGCTCCACAGTATGGCAATAAAAGTATCTACTGTATCTTCTCCATGAATACAAGCATGTGGCACCATCAAGTTACTGGTCAGATCTATAGTTAGGTATGCAGGCCCACAATAAGAATGCATGTCTCAGTTTTAATTCTGAGAAATAAAAACACCAGTAATAAGTAATAAATGCAAGACTATGCCCTTACTGTGGAATATTTCAGGCAAATTACTAATATGTCCATTGAGACAAGCACCTACCACAAGAAAAATTTACATAGTGCACCTTCATTTAAAAAGGACATTCCTTCATGACAACTCACAATGTAATACAAGAAGCACTAGCAAAAAAGAAAAATAGCACATACAGGCTCATAGTAAAAATATAAATATTGATTAAAAGCAAGCAACTACTTGTGTATGATTATATACTTAGGGTTCAAACATAATAGCAGTGCAACACATCCGATATACAAAACAATGTACAGCTGTATGAATGAAGTAGATAATGACTTACACATGCGATCTCCCGGGCAGTGAAGATGCGTCCCAGCACAAATATTTTGACAGGAACGGTGAGGATGAGGACAAAGGGGAAAGCCAGGGAGGCTTGTGTGGACATGACAGCCCACAGCACGGCCAGGCACACCAGCTGGATACAGGTGAACAGGTGCATGCGCAGAGTACGCACCTGGGGAGGAGGGGGTCAGCCATTGTTCAAAAGTCATTACATGTTTGATGTTATTTACATGAATACAATGGCATTACCATGACTGCCTATGTAAACAGAATGTAAATGGCACCTCACCTTGCGGACGTAGGTGTGGTCCGGGTGATACTTTGGTGGCATCAGAAGAAGCATCATTCTCTCAGTTAACTGGATCCCATTGAGTGACATGACTCCCATATAGAGGAAGATCCCAAACAGCACAGCCAGGGGGATCTGTCGCAGCAGTTGGCCTATCACTATGGACAGGCCTGGGGACAACATGGCATGTGGTCATACTTTAATGTCATACAAGTTAAAAGAAAATATGAGCATTGCACTGCATTGCAAAAACTAGAGCCAAACCGATATATCGGTTGGCCGATATGGGCACCTGGAGGCATATCGGCTGCTTTCTGATAGGGGCCGATATTTCACGTGGGCATGTGATACGTCGTTAAAAATCCAATTTACAGACAGATAAATGTCCTAATATGTGGCTCCACATCAGTATTTATCTACGGAGTCATTTGTTTGTGTCTGTACTGTCCCTGAACACACCACAGCGTCGCGTCACTCACGTGTGTTTGTTTACACGCGCAGACACAGATCCAAACA